GTCTATTGGAGGGGATAGAGGGTTAAGTAGAGATGAGAAGGCATGTAATAGTTATCCAGAAGAAAGGGGTACTGAATGAACTTGATGAATGTATAATTTCTGTGATGCATTAAAGTTACAGTTTAAATTATTCATGAATTTCAAATGAACCAGTCAGCATTTTGGTGTATTTTTCTCTGGCTAAATGCAGCTGCAAAGGTACAGGCCCAGCAAAGTTGAATCTAATCAAGGTTGTGGTTTAACCAGCTGGAGTCCATGAAGTAAGAAAGGGGCAAGGAAATTGAAGGTGGAATTGAAGCTTGATTATGAGGGAAGTGAGAACATGAGGTCAGTAAAAGATGATGAAAAGGCGATAGGATCAATGGATTATGGGACCTCATGGGGATAAAAGGACTATCCCTTGGAGTTGGGATATTAGAGGGAGAGTGTTAGAAGAAGGGGATACTTGAAATCGAGATTAGAGAAGACTCCAAATATTGATAATGCTAAAGTCTAGAGTTTGACCATGGGCTTGGTGTTGAAGATAAGGTGAGGGACAAGATATTTGAAGGAGAGGAAGTCAAGGATTTGAGAGGACAGGGAATGAAGAGACCATCTATGTCGTTAGTTTCCTGAACTAGGTTCATGGATGGGATTCAGGGGGATTGTGAACTGAAATGGGCAAATATCACATCTTTATCTTTATTAATTCTTAACTGAAAGTTAACATTTCTCTCAATTTTAAATATAGGTAACAAACCAATATGTTGATAGCAGTACCTGTGACTTTGTCTCCAATAGAAACCATAGATACTTTCATATTATTACAGTTTTTGCATGTTTTAAAAAATATTTTTACTCATCATTATTGTGTAATTATGGTAGTTATTAGAGCCACTGAAGATCTTAAAGTATTACAAAGATTATATGTATTGTATTTTTTAAATATTTTGATAACTGTATTTTACTAAATTGGTTTTATTTATAATCCTATATATATTTTTTCTGCATTTAAAATATTCTGAGGAGGACTCCTTAAGTTTCACCCTTAAACTTCCAAAGGGATTCAGGTCATGTGCATATGCACATACACATTTTTTTTTTTTTTTTTTTTTTTTTTTTGAGACGGAGTTTCGCTCTTGTTACCCAGGCTGGAGTGCAATGGCGCGATCTCGGCTCACCGCAACCTCCGCCTCCCGGGTTCAGGCAATTCTCCTGCCTCAGCCTCCCGAGCAGCTGGGATTACAGGCACGCACCACTGTGCCCAGCTAATTTTTTGTAATTTTAGTAGAGACGGGGTTTCACCATGTTGACCAAGATGGTCTCGATCTGTTGACCTCGTGATCCACCCGCCTCGGCCTCCCAAAGTGCACATATTTTAAGAACCTGCGAAACAAGAAGACTTTGAAATAAACAAGTATTTCACGAATGGCGTTGCAGAGAATGACAGTGATTCAGAAATTGTTATCTTTAAGGAGTGAGGGGACTGACTTGGGATCAATAGATTAATACAACTGGAAAAGGAGGGAGACATCATGGCCTGCAGTTCAATGCTGGTATTTGTTTGTTGAGGAGGGAGATAGAATTGTTTGGAAATGACAGTGAGTTGCAAGAACACCTAACCCTACCTTCAGGCCCCACAGGAGGCATGTAAAAGAGAAAGCAGCCACCCGTTCCAGAGGACTAAAGGAAAGGAGTGTCATTTAGGAAGTTTCAGGTTTTTGTTAGAGCAAGATGAGGTGAGCATTCACAGATGAAGCTGGGGGTAGAGGAGATTTTGTTGATGATTAACCTTGAGTTTGAGAGGACACACTGGAAGTGTTTCAAATAATACGGAGAGGTAGGAGATGGGATCAGAAAACATGATATACGTAATCATATAAGGATTAGAATTCAGGGGTTGAGGTTTGTGCTTCTCAAAGGAATTAATACCACAAGGAAAGAGGGAATATGGTGAGATTAGTCCTGATGGTCCCGAGGCAGATAGTGTAAAGGTGAATGGGGATACTGAAGTAAGTGAGAGCAGGGCTCTTGCCAGGCATGCATAGATTTCTGGTGCTCCCACTAAATTCAGGCCCTCCATCATCTGGTTTTCAGCCCCTGTCTAATCTCATAATCACTCTCCCCTTCCCTCCCTTCAGTCACTGTAGCTCTCCTGGTTGTTTCTGAAATACTGTAAGCATGCCCCTATCTCATTGCCTTTGTATTTGCTGTTTCTAGTGTCTGGTCTGCTCTTTCCCAAGATATATATTTGGTTTGCTCCCTCATTTGATTTAGGTTTCTGCTCAAATACCACTTTATTAGAGAGGATGGTCGCAACTATCCAAGGTAGTTTGTATAATTCTCTCACTTATTATTCTCTGTTCTTTTTAATTGCTTTTATCTCCCTTCTTAATGTTTATCACTACCTGATTCATCATTTATTTGTACGATCAAATAACTAGCTATTTCCAGCTCCTCTCACTGAAAGGTAAGCAACATGATAGAGCTGGAACTTTGGTTCACTGTCGTATCCCCACTACCTAGCATAGTATCTGCCTTGTGATAGGCACTTGTGAAAGCTTATTTTGTGAATGAGTAAATAAATTCAGAAACAGCCTTTAGAGGGTAAGAGAATTATAGTATAGTGATTAAGAGTTCAGACTCCAAAGTCAGTCACATGAGTTCACTTTTTAAAACTTGCTCCATCTCAGTTTCTCATCTGTAAAGTGGAACAGATAGTGGTACGTCAAAGAGCTATTAAGGAGAGATAATGTTATAAACATTTTACAAAGTACCTGACATATAAAATCTCTGGATTGTCCTTCCAGAGTCATTTCATTCTGAAATTAGAGATGGTGTTTACTTACTAGGCTTCTGACTTCATTTTTACCCAGCAACTCGAGTCTCTTGTCTGGTAACTTTTAATTTTCTTGTGTCCACAGACCAGCGTGACTTTAGTCCCTAGCCTTTCTGGACTGTAGCTGAGACCCCGCTTCCTACATATCCCTCTTATCAAAACATATACTTGCATCCTGTTCTGCAGGAACTGTGCTCAGTTTTTTAGTACATTGTTAATCTACCTGGTAAAGTACTTCAGACTGAGGTATCAGCATACGTTAATGGTGTATTATGTTATTTCTGCCAGTATTTGCATTTAATATAGGGACTACTATCCTTAAAGTAAAGCAAACAATGGTGAAAATCATATGAAGTGGCTCAGGGCTGCTTTTTTTGTTTGCATTCCTCAGCTCATTTCATGTAGGTGACTGCCAACTTAATCTATAAATTAGAGTAACTCTGATTATGTAGTATCATTCCTTCCAAGCATGAGGTACTTAACATGAATTTCTCTAAACAGAATCACAGAGGTTTAGAATTCAAAGGGACCTTAGAGATTATCTGGACTAGAGGTTTTCAACTTTCTTTTTAAAGCAGCAAAACCCCTTTTTCAAATGAAATAGTATGTGGAAAATTAATATATAGATTAATAAAAGCACAGCTGATTCCTAAACCCAGGAATCTAAGCCATGTAGGTCTCCCTTTGTTGTCTGGGGCAATCCCCTGAGGGTACTTCCATGGAACCCTTAGGGCTCCCCAGAGTGCTGTTTTAAAACCACTAATTTAGACCAACTCTTTCATTTTTCCAGCTGAGGAAATACACCCAGAGAGCTTTTATTTTATCTGGTTTTACAGGGTAAATTAGTTGGATTAAGAGCAGTCCTTACATGTGCCATACTTAGGAAAACACTATTAGACAAGAGTGGAAATTCTTATTTCATATGTAGATAACTTTTACCATCTCATTTCTTTTCATCGACAAAGTTTGTAACTAATACAAAGAAATATGAGACATAACCCTTTGCCTTAAAAAGCAAATAACATAATTGGGAAACTAAAACATGAAGTTGAAAAGTTATACCAAATTTAAATAAGACTCCAAGACTTGAGATGTAATAAAGCTGAGTGGAATTCATTGAAAATAAGTGATTCTGAGAATTGGCTCTAATGGAGCTCAGTGGAGGGTGAAGCTACTCTATTTGGATAGAGAAGGTTTTAAAGAGGAGAGATAACTAAACTGAGTAGCACTGGGCTAAGTAAATAGGGATAAGGTGATATACTACTGTAAGTAAGGGCAGAACTTTGAATTCTAGTACCTTCACTTACCTCTATATAATATTGGGAAAGTCCTTAACCTCTGAGCCTGTTACTTCATCTGCAGAATGGGAATGTATGGGATGTATGTTAATTAAGGACATATCAATTGATGTAACATAAACCTCAAAGTGTCAGTGATTTATCACAATAGAAGTTTATTTCTTCTGTATGTCTGTGTCTACATCAGACAGCTTTCTAAGAGGTCATGCAGGGACCTAGGTTCCTTCTTTTTTGGTTTCTACCTATCCTAGGTCTTTTGAATTCTCTTCATTCAAAGGGGAAAGAGAGTAGAAGATTCCACTGCAGAGATATTCAGAGGTCGGGCTGAAAGTGGTATATAAACCTCTGCCCACTTTTTTATTGTCCAAAATTCAATTGCAAAGCTATATCTAAATAAACACAGAGAATATAGTTATGTGCATAATGTGGAACTGAAATAAGTTTTAGTGTTCGTATAAAATCTCCGTTACCTCACAGATTTGTTGTGAGATTGGAGGAAATTGTGTATGTGACATGCTTAGTACAGTGCATAGAATATGGAGGTATTTAAATGTCCTTTTTAAAGAATAGGAACATTTATATAATGTTTTACTGAGTACAGATAATTCACTAAATTTTTTTTATTAACGTGTTTTAACCCTGTCTTTGGAGAAGTGTCCATTTATTTTTAGCTCTTGGCAATAATGATAACTAATATTTAAAATGATTCTCTTTGGTAGGAGTATTTAATGTTTACTGAGTACAGATAATTCACTAAATTTTTTATTAACAAGTTTTAACCCTGTCTTTGGAGAAGTGTCCATTTATTTTTAGCTCTTGGTAATAATGATAACTAATATTTAAAATGATTCTCTTTGGTAAGTTGTTTGTTTACTTTTCTTTAGCATGGTGTTATTGCTACAGAAGATGAAGAATATTTTATTGAACCTTTAAAGAATACCACAGAGGATTCCAAGCATTTTAGTTATGAAAATGGCCACCCTCATGTTATTTACAAAAAGTCTGCCCTTCAACAACGGCATCTGTATGATCACTCTCATTGTGGCGTTTCCGGTGAGTGAGTGTGCAACTTTTAGAAAGTATATTGTATTGAATTGCTGCTTTTTCTTTCTTCTGGCAAGTATAGTAAGGTTAACAATAAAAGTAAGTAGGAATTTGACTAGAATTATAATGTCTAGAGCCCTTTTAATAGATGTTACCTACCAATAGTTTCAAATCATTTGCAAGCTCTTTGAGCTTTGCATAAAATGCATTTTCTTTTTTTGGTTGAAGGGAAAAAAATAATCCTTATTTTACTTAGGTAATAACTATAGCTTTTATGCACAGGTATACTGTAATACTCTGTGATGTTTGATTAGCCTGATATTTTTATGCTAGTAGCAGGAATCTAGACATCTGAGTAAGACTTGAAGAGTCTTAAGGTAGTATTCAAAAGTAGTGTTAGTAGCACTGAGTGAGGTTACTATAGAAATATGTAGTACAGACAACAAATGTAGGCTTCAGTGGTCAAGGAGAGCTTCATGGAAGAAGTAACTTCTAAGTTGAGGACTGAGGGGAAAGTGAAGGTAGCTGTGTAGAAATGGAGAAAGCAGTGGCTATAGTGTTTCACATAAAGGAAATAGCATTTATGAAGCTTCTAAACCAAAAGAGAGAATGTCATATTTTATAAGTTGAAAGACAGTTCAAGTAACTGGATAATAGAATGTTGGCTGGAGGGATAAAGGTGAGGTTCACAGTGGTTGGGGGAAGTGGTTTTGAGAGATGAAACTGGAAAGATTAGCAGAGGCCACATCATGAAGAGCTTGTGAACCATGTTAAGGGGTTTGTTTATCCTAAGTGTACTAGAAACCCACTGAAAGGTTTTAAGCAGGAAGAATAACATATAATCAGATTTGTGTTTTAGAAAAGTACTCTGGCAGCAATATGGAGACTGAATTAGACAAGAGCAAGACTAGAGGTAGTTAAGAGGATGTTAGTCTAAAGATGAGAAAATGTAGAGAAATAGTGGATATAGCATAGCATAGCAAAAAGAACATGGGCTTTGGTATAGCATAGGACGAATTACCTAACCTCTCTGAGTGCTCATCTCAGCACATACTAGTTACCCAATCAAATTGTAGGTATCATTAAGATGACTGTTTCTAGTACACTAAAGAGTTATTATGCTAAAAAAATTTTTTTAAAGATTTGTTCTATGTAGTTCCAGTAGTTAGAACCAGGGGAGGAATGTCTGAGAGAGAGATTTCAGCTTAATGCAAAGGTAAAGTCAACAACAAGTAGATTTAGTAAAAAATGGAAAAGGTTGCCTTGTGAATTAGTGTATGATATGCATCATCCTTTTGTTACTTCTCCATATTTTTCATGGGCTTGTTTTCTTCTTAAGTGTTGAGTTTTCTTTGGAATTTTTTTCTTAACCTACTGTTCTCATTCTGTGCACTTTCTTCTTGAGTAATCTCTGAGGCTGTTAATTAAGTCCTTGTTGGTCAAGAATAGTTGGTACTAGAAAAAGACAACTTACAATAAAGCTACCTAAAACATGAATTCGTTAGTTAATAATGAAAACAAAAGGTTTGTTGAGTCTTTGAATTGAGTAATGAAACAAACATTATGGAAATGAGTTTATTTTATCTTATATTCAACAACATTTATACTGTAAGTACAATTATATATATATTCTTTAAAAACTAGAATTCAAATACTTAGTTGGTTTATTATAATATAATTTTCTATCATTTTCCATAACATGCCATCCTTCACTGTATGATTGTAAAGAAGATCACCTTTTGGAAGAATATTTAAAGATTTTACCATATTCTGAAAAGCCTATCTCTTAATCCTTTCATATTTAAATTATTCTTTCTTGAAGTACGTATAACATTATTTTAACTCAGGCAGATCCTTATTTTTTAATGGTTTATATAGTCAAACACTTCTCTAAATCCATTCTTATGGCTGTCATAAAAGTCTGCCCTTTTGCGGGAAGATATTCTCCTACCTTCTCTCATTTGGATTACTGTGACAATTTCCTAAACAGTCTTCCATTTCAATCTTTTCAATTCACCGGCCATTTCTATTACCCCGAACAGTAGTATATTTATTTCAGACCCTCGTTATTTTTTGCCAAGGCCACTATATTGACTTTCTAATTATGCTTTCTGTATCCACATTTTTGTTCTTGTTTTCAGTTATATCTGTCTCTTAAATCTGACTGTGTCACACACCTTGAAAAACTTCACTGGCTTCCCATTATTGGGAATATGGTAGTATTTCCCTATGTTCTGGGCAAGTGTTATTAGACTTTATAGGTAAAAAAGCATTTGGTGTTTAGTAGCAAATTTGGGAAATGTCTGGCTAACATCTTAATCGTAATACTGTTTCAACAGCATAGGTTAAGTGAGAGATGTGAATTTATAGGCATACACTGCCAGTTAGCCTATTACCTGGAACTCAAGTTTATGCCAAAATATAAGATATGAAAACCCCCTAGACACTGGATATATTTATCTTATGTTCAGATATTAATTTTTCTATTCTAATTAGATTAAAACTGAATTTTTAAAAATTTTATAGAAGGAATAAATGTTATTTTTAGGAAATAAACATTATGGATGTTTATAGGACTAAAAGGAGAAAAAGAAACTGAAAGTTACTCTTATTCCAACACCCAGATATAACTAAGTATTCTTCTAGTCCATTGAAATAGATATTATTATGTCTCTATATCTGCATTATCGACTTATATATTCATTAAGTAAATATTCATTTAGTACCCATATGCAAGGCTCTTTTAGGTGCTGGGGATGCAGCAATAAATAAAGCAGAAAAACTGCTCTCATCGAGTTTATATTCTAGTGAGGAAAGATTGTTAACAAAATAAGCAGACAAACAAATAAACAAATATATGGTCAACTGTCCAGAAATAGTAAGTACTATGAACAAAAATAAAGCGGGTCAATGAAATAATAATGAGTGGCTGTGTATATTCAAGCATTTTGGTATTGATCAAAAAGTTAAAATTTTCTTTCAGATGGCAATGTAATCCATATATTGATTTTGGGAAAAAGTTATTGTGTTATATGTGTTTATGAACAGTGTTTTCCTAACATGTTATAATCTAATCAGAATTAAATTGAACAAAGCATTCGTTAACAGGCATCATTTGAAGAGCTACTCATCTTTATTTTGAAACAGAACAAGTCAATCTTGTTTTTCATTTTAGACTAAGAAAGATAGTAGTTACAGATCATTAAGCTTAACGTTAAGAAGTCAATTGACAATTATAGAATGTATAGTTTTATAATGAGCTAATCATGCTGGATTAATTTAATTTTTAAAATGAAACTGAAGATGCTCTCTCTCTTGATTTTATTCATTCAGTATATGTGTATACATAAAATATTGAATATATAATTATATATAATATATATAATATGCCTTTGATGGACATTCATAAATAAAAATACAGTTTAAATAAATAAAAATACATGTAGTTAAAATAATTTGTAATTTGTTAGAGTGATAGCCAAGCAAACTAAAATTTAAAATTTTAAAAAACGAAAATGTTGAAAATTATGATGATAGCAAAGATGATAACAGCTATTACCTTACACTGAATTCATTTTTTTTTGTTATTATTATTATTGAGATGCAGTTTTGCTCTTGTTGCCCAGTCTGGAGTGTGGTGGTGCCATCTTGGCTCACTGCAACCACCACTTCCCAGGTTCAAGTGGTTTTCCTGCCTCAGTTGTCTGAGTAGCTGGGACTACAGATGTGTGCCACTATGCCCAGCTAATTTTTTTTTTTGGTGGAGACAGGGTTTCACCATATTGGCCAGGCTGGTCTTGAACTCCCTACCTTGGGTGATCTACCCACCTTAACCTCCCAGAGTGTTGGGATTACAGGCATGAATCATCATGCCTGGTCTGAATACATTTTAAATTAAAAATACCATTTGCTATATGTTTATTGCACAGTAGTGTCTAATTCTTTTCACAGTATTTTAAACAAAAATAAGTAGAAATTGAATGGGTCAGAGAAGGCAGAATGATCAAAAGAATAAAAATAAGATTCTACATTTAGACATTTAAGCCATCCAGCTAGAGAAAGAGACTGGGCATGACTTAAATATATGAGTGGCTTTATGATCACAGAGGATTGAGCAGGAAAAATTGGAGTTATATTGATGTGGAAAAGCTTTTGGCTGTTTTGTAACAATATTAGCCAATAAAACCTAGTGGCTTACTCAGTATACTTTTAGTATTTCACAGTTTCATTGGTCAGGAGTCTGTGCATGGATGGGTCATCTGCTTATCCTCATCCAGGGCTGAATTCTTATCTGGAATCTTGACTGGGGAAGAATCCACTTCCCCACCCTCATTTTGTTGGCAGCATTCAGTTCTTGTGGTTATAGCTTTAGTTTTTGGATAGTTGTCTTCAGATGCCAGCTTCAGTTAACCAGCATGATTGCTCGCTTTCTCCAAGTCAGCAAGGGAGAGACTCTAGACAAATGCTACAATATTATATAACATAATCATGTACTAATATACTCAAAATCACATCCATCCCATCATCTTTGCTGTATTCTGTTATTTAGAAGCAAGTTAGCGGTCCTATCCATACTCAAAAGGAGGAAATCACAAAAGGATGTGAGCATCAGGAGACAGAGATCATAGAGGCCACCTGGAGAGTCTGTCTGCCACAACTGGATATAGGGAAACATTATCTGGAGGATACTATTGAAATAAGAAGTGGTGTTTATATCTTTGCTTCTCTTGACCTTTAGAAAGGAAGACACTCATTTAACTTATGAGTTCCAGGAATATTTAACTGATAAGTCTCATGATCATTTCCACCTAATTTCTCAAAATTTATCCATCCTACTGTCTTAGCCCATTTCCTGCTGCTGTAACAGAATACCTGAGACTGGATAATTTAAGAACACTGAAAGTTTATTTACCATATGGTTCTGGATGCTGGGAAGTCCAAGATCATGGCACCAGCATCTGGTGAGGGTCATCTCATGGAAGAAGGCAAGAGGAGGAAGTGAGTGCACACAACAGAGAGAGGAAACTGGGTCGAACTCATTATTTTTATCAGGAATCCACTCCCACAATTACTAACCCACTCCTACAATAATGGTTTTAATTCCTTCATGAGGGTGGAGCCCCCATGTGCTAATTACCTCTTAAAGGCCCCAGCTGTTAAAACTGTTATGACGGCAATTAAGTTTCACATGAGTTTTGGAGGAGACATTCAAACCATAGCACCTACCAATGCATTTTTTAAAAGACAAAGGCTAAAGAAGTTAGATAAATGAGAATAGTCACACTTTCTGTCAAGTGTATCATATATATTAATCTAATTTTTCCTCACTAAATTTTTCAGTAAGTGGGGGTGAGAAAGATTTCCTGTTCAATATAAGGATATGGAAGTGAAATATACAAAGATCCTCTAAATGCTCATTTATTTAATGAAGATGATAATCAGTGAGGCAAGTGTTTACAAATGCCATATCCCTAAAAGACTGCTACTATACTGAAGAACCAAATGTCTAGAAAACAAAGGATACGGTGCAATCCATGCTAAATCTGGTTCAAAGCAAATTATGCTGGAATCATGATCTTTCAACTCTAATTGAATGCCTCTTACCTCTAGACTTTGGAAAAGAAATATTTTGAGTTCTCTGTCAGAATAAATAGTTGTAGACTGCCAATCTAATTGAAAAAAGTAATTCATTGCCTTTTAGAATTGAGATTTCTAGAGCAGTAGAATGGATTCTAATTAAAATAGCTTAATGAAAGGATCTTACTTTAAAATAAATGCTCAAAAGAATCTTTGGAATAGATTTATGCAACATCAGTGTTCTCTATCAGAGCTGTCCTAGGCTGATTCAAAAGTTCATACTCTAGATGCTTTTTAAACAACTTTAAATGATTCTTTGAAGTATGTATTCTAAATTTTAAATGTTATCAAGATATAATTACTAGAATAATATGAAATGACTATTTGAAAATTATTTTTATTAATTCATTTCTTAGACTTGCTTTGTTTTCATGAGCAGTTGAATGTTTAAATTTTTTTTCAGATAAGATGATTATTTTGAAAAATTCACAGACTTTTTCTCACTACTGCATTTTCTCATTCTCTTTCCTGGGGAAAATCTTAATATAGTAGAGAATTTATGAGAAGTATGTCTACATGAAAGATCTATAAATAAATATGTTTAATTAGTGAACCTATCTGAATTGGTTGCTTTTATTGTAGATTTCACAAGAAGTGGCAAACCTTGGTGGCTGAATGACACATCCACTTTTCCTTTTTCACTACCAATTAACAACACACATATCCAACACAGACAGAAGAGATCAGTGAGCATTGAACGGTTTGTGGAGACATTGGTAGTGGCAGACAAAATGATGGTGGGCTACCATGGCCGCAAAGACATTGAACATTACATTTTGAGTGTAATGAATATTGTAAGTTTGATCCCTCTATATAATATTTCACTTAATTATTTGTTGTGTTTTTGACTAAGGTCATACATTTTTGCTGTGAAATAAATAATGACAAGAATTTACCTGTCTAAAGTGGTAAAATACTTGATCTAGTAATGTTTCAGTTCCATAGAAATGCATTTAAAGATGACCTTATCATTTATTTTTAGATAATATGAGAGTTTTAGTGGATTGTTAAATCTTGTTTAAGGGGTTTTCTTTAACTTGAAATATCAGCTCACCCTCTAATTTTCATGCTGTAGTTCATGTCTAGGAGAAAATATTTCTTGAGGTAGACTTATAAAACCTTTTATCAAGGCACCGTTAGGGTAGACTTCTAAGTGATATGGGGCAATGTATACAGTGGTTAAATTTATAAAAAAATCAGGCTATTACCCTATGATTTTTGTCTGACTTTGTGTCTTTTCTTATTTTCTGGAGGTCAGGTTGCCAAACTTTATCGTGATTCCAGCCTAGGAAACGTTGTGAATATTATAGTGGCCCGCTTAATTGTTCTCACAGAAGATCAGGTAAGAATGAGTTAGTTTATAAATCTAAGATTCTTAACAGATAGGCTATATAGACTTCCTTATTATTTAAGAATATGTTTTATTATTGCTCCTATTAGGAAGTTCTAGTTGGATATGATACTTAGCTCTGCACATTTAATATCTTAAGTAAATTCTAAATATGTTACAAGAATATACCTCTTATGTTAAAGCCATATAGATGTATATTAGCTATATGTTTCAGTATAAGGGTGAGCATTTGCATGGCATATCTTATAAATGGTTATCATTAGTTTTTATGTTGATAATCTCATATATGTTTACATCGTTAAAACTGGAACTGGAAAGAATGTCTGTTAAATAATACACCAAATGAGCTCTAGGTCAGTTATTACAGAGATAAAAATTGGCAAGAGATTATTCCTGGAAACCACTGCTTCTAATTATAGTCCTACTTTAGTCTTCAAAAGTTTTAAAAACTGACCTTAGTAGTTTGTTTGGAACATTTCTGGTATGCATGTTGTATTGCAGCCAAACTTGGAGATAAACCACCACGCAGACAAGTCTCTCGATAGCTTCTGTAAATGGCAGAAATCCATTCTCTCCCACCAAAGTGATGGAAACACCATTCCAGAAAATGGGATTGCCCACCACGATAATGCAGTTCTTATTACTAGGTATGGTTTCTTGCAAGTATTTTTCCTTTGATTGTTGTTTATTCACTATTGTAATAAATTTGGTTCTATCTAAAGCCTCATTCAGATAATGAGTATAGAGAAAGCAAAATGATAATTTATTTTTCACTACTGAGAAAGAATGTATTACACTATTATTATGTTTGCATCAGATGAATCAACTAAGAAAAAAGAAAATATTAAGATTTGACTTAGAAATTTAGTAAATAACTTTCCTTCTACTGATAAGTTGTATTCATAATGTTTCATCGGAAGCATGTAGATAATTTTTTAACTGAACAAAATACCTACTAAAACAAGATTAAAACATATGAGAAAATACATATCTTAAAAATAACCGTTATTGGTTATAAAATATATTAATTATTCTTACCTCACAGTTGTGTTAAAGTTTATTAAAAAAGAGAAGGAAACTGACAGTTATACAACTTACTTGAATGCTTATTTAATTTAAAGTACTTTAATTAAGATATATAAATATTAAAAAGTAGGTTGATTACACTATGCGTTGAACAGCTTGTCTCTCAAGCAAAATTATTATTTGATGATAACGCATTGAATTCTTACATTGATTTCCAGTTTTACAAAACTGTTTTCAGATCTGTTTTATTCTTTACTCTCTAACAACAACCTTGTAGATAGTGTTATTATGTTACGCATGTTAGAAATTAGGGAAGGTAAGTTTCTCAGTATTACTTAGCTAATAAGTGAAAGAATAGGGCTCAGATCCTGGTGATCCTGTCTTTGATTATATGATGCCATCTGTTTTAGTTTTTAATACTCTAATTATGATTGGTTAGAAACATTATACTTAAATTGTTTTAAGTTTGCCTTTGGACCTCATCAATATTTTAAAATAAAAAACAAAATAACAGTAATAATAAGCAAATGGAAGCATTATTCTCCCTTGGCTAAGTGGAATAGTCTTCGGTATGTTGGTTATTTCAATTTGCAAAGCAGTATTTAACGTATGCTTCATCTGTGGATGGTGTATTCATTGACTCTACATTAGGTTCTAGGGATGGAATACAAAGCATATGAGTCAGAATCTTGAGATCCAGTAAGATAATGTAAACTTTAGAAAAATTTCCCAGGTAACTGAGTCATAGAGTGAAAGTTCTGAATTTTATTTTATAGTTATGCTTACTTTAATTGACTATATACCTGGCATCATAGGTGAGAAAATTTGGTTTATGACATGCGAGCTGAATAAAATCATATGGTTCTGTATTAATGTATGTTGACATTTTATTGTGATAAAATTTGCATCCCCTTAGAGTCTTCTGGTCTGGAATATCCTCAAATATACTTAAGGAATTAAAAATGTACTAGGAATTGTGCAAATATAGAAAACTTTCTGTTAAAAAGTATGGACAAAAATATGGGCATTGATTAGTGTCAATGAAATTACTAGAAGAAAATGTCTGTTGTATATAGCTAACAAAATGACCATAGATATTTACATGACTTTTGTATTTATATTTGTTAAGCCCTTTCTCTCTTCCCAAATGCGACATGCAGTGGACTCCCAATCTTCAAATTTCATTATTGTATCTCCATTGGATTTGTACCTTTTGCCTCAAATGACAGAAGTTATACCAAGCACATATATAGGTATTTAAGCGGTAGAGTACATCTGGGCAGTTAGCCCACGTTTTTTTGCCCTGGCTACAACATTCAGCTGTCCAACTTTTTACTCTGAAGTCTCCTGGATATTTTCCTGATTCTCTGCAGGGCTCTTCTTTGCTTTTGTAAGCTACTTTGAGTGCCTTTTTGATGTTTGAGATTTGAACATAAAATTTTCTTTTTAATTTTTATTTTATTTATTTATTTACTTTTTGAGATGGAGTCTTGCTCTGTTGCTCAGGCTGGAGTGCAGTGGGGCAATCTCGGCTCACTGCAACCTTCACTGCCTGGGTTCAAGTGATTCTTCTGCCTCAGCCTCTTGAGTAGCTGGGATTACAGGCTCATGCTACCACACCTGGCTAATTTTTTGTATTTTTAGTAGAGACCAGGTTTCACCATGTTAGCCAGGATTGTCTCGATCTACTGACCTTGTGATCCACCTGCCTTGGCCTCCGAAAGTGTTGGGATTACAGGCGTGAGCCACAACGCCTGGGTAATATTTTCTTTTTAGACTTGTCTCCTAATGATCAGACTAGTACTAGAAATGATCTCAGGATTTAATAGGGAAGTAGTTCAAAGAGTTAATATCATATTATTTTAGACTAGCTAATGTAACAGGTTAGAAAAATGCTTTTTGGGGCAGTGTGGAATTCTTTTTTGAATTCTTATTAAAGTTTATCTTTAATGTTTAGAAATGGTTATTTTTTGAGGATCAGAGGAGAGTTACTAGGGTTGGACTCTCTCTTACATATTTGTTATTTTGAAATCAAATGTGTTTAAATTATACTGCTAATTTTTGTAAAAATAATTTTGAGAATTTCATAGATGACTTTATATTAATGTCGAAAATTGGTTGATATAACTCACTTATTAACATGTTCAAGTGGGTCAGGTGTGGTGGCTAATGCTTGTAATCCCAGCACTTTGGGAGGCCGAGACAGGCAGATCACCCCAGGTCGGGAGTTCAAGACCAGCCTGACCAACATGGAGAAATCCTGTCTCTACTAAAAATACAAAATTATCTGGGTGTGGTGGCGCATGCCTGTGGTCTCAGCTACTTGGGAGGCTGAGACAGGAGAATTGCTTGAACTGGGGAGGTGGACATTGCAGTGAGCCGAGATTGTGCCATTGCACTCCAACCTCGGCAACAAGAGAGAAACTCCATCTTAAAAAAAAAAAGTCCAGGAGTATGAACCCACTGTTTGTGGTTAAGATCATGATGCATGTTTGCTTGAAATGTCAACTCACTAGGGAGAATGTATCATGTGTTTATCAAGAATGCCAGAGGAAAACTGATGGATATATTTATTTCCACTATGCCAAATTTTTGTCACTTAAGTAACAATAGGTACTTTTAAAAACTCAAAATGTTATCTCTTTTTTACAAATTATATCTTATTGTTTTATTTTGTTGCTTTAAATTTAAAACGCACTATGCTCTGCAAAGCTGCAAAGTCTGACTAGAGAAAAAGAAAATAAAGAAATTTTGAAGGTTGTTTTAACTGATACCAATAATATTGAATGAATACCAAAGAACATATTGAAATTATTTTTATATGTTTATATATCTATTTTATGTGTACATATATGTGTTACTATGTTCTATATAATTATTCATAATAAAAAATATATAATATAATGAATACTTATTATCCCTACCTAGATTTATCAAATCTTAACTTTATGCTGTACCAAAGAGCAGCTTTATGTCACTTCTTAAAATGATGGTTACCCAGCTAGCATCATAATGATAGGATCAAACTCACATATAGTAATATTAACTATAAATGTAAACAGGCTAAATGTCCCATTAAAACACACAGACAGGCAAGTTGGATAGAGGCAAGACCCATTGGTGTGCTGCATTCAGGAGACCCATCTCACGTGCAAAGACACACATAGGTTCATAATGAAAGACTGGAGGAATATTTACCAGCAAATGGAAAGCAAAAAAAAAAAAAAAAAAAAAAGCAGTAGTGCAATCATAGTCTCTGATAAACCTGTCTCTGAACCAACAAAGATCAAAACAGACAAAGAAGGGCATTACATAATGGTAAAGGGAGCAATGCAACAAGAAAAGCTGACTATCCTAAATAGATAGACACCCAATACAGGAGTGCCCAGATTTGTAAAGCAAGTTCTTAGAGACCTACAAAGAGACTTAGACTCACACACAATAATAGTGGGAGACTTTAACACCCAACCGTCAATATTAGACAGATCAACAAGACAGAAAATTAACAAGGATATTCTGGACTTAAACTCAGCTCTGGACAAAGAGGACCAAATAGACATCTATAAAACTCTCCACTCCAAATTAACAGACTATACATTCCTCTCAGCACCACATTGCACTTACTCTAAAATCGACCACATAATTGGAAGTAAAACACTTAGCAAATGTCAAAGAATGGAAATAATAACAACCAGTCTCTCAGACCACAACACAATTAAACTAGAACTCAGGATTAAAAAACTCACTCAAAACTGCACAATTACATGGAAACGGAGCAACCTGCTCCTGAATGACTACTGGGTAAATAGCAAAATGAAGGCAGAAATAAATAAGTTCTTTGAAACCAATGAGAACAAAGATACAACATATGAGAATCTCTGGGACACAGCTAAAGCAGTGTTTAGCGGGAAATTTATAACACTAAATGCCCAGGAGGGAAAGCAGGAAAGATCTAAAATCAACACCCTACCATCACCATTGAAAGAACTAGAGAAACAAGAAAATAAATTCAAAAGCTAGCAGAAGACAACACATAGTAAGATCAGAGCAGAACTGAAGGAGATAGAGATAAGAAAAACCCTTCAAAAAAATCAATGAATTTAGGAGCTGGTTTTTTGAAAAGATCAACAGACTAGATAGACTGATAGCCAGATTAATAAAGAAGAAAAGAGAAGAATCAAATAGACACAATAAAAAATAATAAAGGGGATATCACCATTGATCCCATGGAAATACAAACTACCATCAGAGAATACTATGAACACCTCTCTGCAAATAAACTAGAAAATCTAGAAGAAATGGATAAATTCCCAGATACATATACCCTCCCAAGTCAAAACCAGGAAGAAGTTGAATCCCTGAATAGACCAATGCAAGTTCTGAAAATCAGGCAGTAATTAATAGCCTACTAACCAAAAAAAGTCCAGGACCAGATGGACTCACAGCAGAATTCTACCAGAGGTACAAAGAGGAGCTACTACCATTCCTCCTGAAACCATTCCGAACAATAGAAAAAGAGGGATGCCTCTCTAACTCATTTTAGGAGGCTAGCATCATCCTGATACCAAAACATGGCAGAGACACAACAAAAAAGGAAAATTTCAGGCCAATGTCTCTTATG